TTCACCTTGTGAAAGTAAGAATATCGTGTAGTATTTAGGTTAGCGAGATGAGCTCCTCGATACGAATTACGATGTCTTCTTCGTCTTTCATTGCGTGCAAGCCGAGCGGGACCTACTTGGAGCACGTAAAACCGGAAAGAATCAAAGCGTGAGCAGGGAGGACCGAAGGCGTTTTAATTATCGTGCCTCGTAAATTGTCTCGACGAAGATAAGTGTATTTATTAGTAATCGAGCAACGTGTACCGGGACACGCATATAACTGGCTGTTTTAATAATTCTGTAATTTATCTCGTATAATTCATCCTGTCATATTTGTTTCTTCGTTTTTCGGTCTTCGTTCTTTCTCCTTCTCGTAATTCTACGTTTGTTAAATACATAACAAGTGAAATTACTTTCACCACGTTGTACTGTTCACTGCTGTTATTAATCGGGATAATTGATAACTGAGCGCGACGAGCGAACGATGTTTTAATACAACCGTTTGGCGATACGATGGTATCTTGAAATATTTGGAATCTTATAGGCTCAAATTGAATCGCGTGTCAAGATCTATAATTTGAATTTATTAAATATTTTAATTAATCATTTAAGTGATCAAGTAGCTCGCATATATTTCCACGAAGATCCAAAGATACATTTGGATTGAGAAATGTCGTTGTTAGTGAAAGATGTTGCGTCCCTGCAAAGATGGAATCGCTTAATTACGCGCCACTTAATTATTATTCCAACACAGCGTGGATCGAATGATTTAAAACTATGAAATTTTTAGCTGCAGCAGAGAAATATAACTAAAAATAACGTTGTAACGATCGTTCTGCAGAGATTCATCGATTCATTCGCTTCCCCTTAATCGTTGTTTTACAAGAAATCGCACTTTGAATCGCATTTCGAAACATCGACGAATACAAAAGAATTGTTTACATATGCCGGTGTATCGTGATCGCTACGTACAATTTTTAACGAATTAAGAGATAACAAGTTCATCGCGTTTTCACACGTACGTATAAATTTACGTTGTAAACGTTGTTGACGTTAATTTCATCGATCATACTTACAACATAAGATGTTCAACCGTTTAACGTATCATCATTTTCTCGTTACTTGCTTCCACTTGTATGCGAATAATTACGATAATCGTAGAATAATTATGCTACCGATACCGCCGTATACGATTTGCATAAATGCACTTAAACCGATCATTTGATAAACCATATATATGTAGGTTGATATAATATACCTATTTATTCGTCGATAAATGAAGTTACACCATTTTACATACAAATTTCTTAAAAAGATACTTGCGATTTAAACGGTTATTTCTTCGGTATAAGAAAGTCGTCAAATATCTCTAACTATCCCATTACGTTGAGATAAAATGTCGTTTCACCGGAACTTGAATTTCACGAATTAATGTATCGTCCATCAAATGTGATCCTATCGTGAATTTTTCAGTAAAGAAGTGAGAAATTTTCTATAACATGCGACTAGGAAATGCTTTATAATAACAACAATAAAATTTTCTTCTAATTGTCGGCACGAATAATCGAAATATCCGCACGAATTTAAATTCTTATCGAGACAACTGAGAGTGCAATGTATCAAAACGAAGAAATGTTAGTTTTCATAGAAAATAAATGCAATTACATTTATTAATAGTAATTTACGTTCGAATTCTGAATAGTCTAATTCATCAATTATTTCGTTAAAACTTTAGAGTATAAAATTTACATAAATCGAAGTATAAAGATCGTTGTACTGGAAGACGTAACAAACTTTGTGTTACGGAAAACAGCAATGTTCTTTTCCGTAACTGTATGTACAGGCGATCAAGACGCATGAAATTTGTGCATTGCAAGTATCACGAATTTTGCAGTTTACTTTGACCAATTTCGGAATTAAAGGTTCTGCGTGTTACAAATTCGCCCCACAGCCTTAAAATATCGAAATACTGTAGATCTGTTATATAACGTTACGCAAGTACGCAAATGTGCCGAAATCTACACGGCAAGATTATATATATTTCGTCATAAACGAAGATGCATTCTGAAATATTTATGAGATCGAATTGATTTTACCTTTATCGATCGATGCTACGTAACAACCACTTGTTTTGAGCACTTTTAACGAAATTTCGTCGTCCGATACGAAATTCCGTTTGAATAAAAATTTCATTGAGAATATATCGTGCCTTCGCATTACACGTGTCTTCCTAAAAAGATATCGAGTTATTTGTCATCGGCTATTCTGCATATCCTAGGCAGGGCATTCAGAAAATGCAAAAGATACAAGGCTTACCTTACAACTTCGACTTTCGGATCAGCCAACCGCTTTGTCATCCTCGGGCCACGTGTCTGGATCATCCGCAAAATTTGGAGGTGTCCTGTTCACAGAGTGGGAGAGAAAGGGATGGAGGGGGATTAAATAAGGCACCGGCTTGCCAGAAATTCACCGAATGTTCACTGATGGATATATAAAGGGATCCTGTGCCCCATGTTACGAGTCAGTATAGTTTCCTCCTTGTGGAAGAACCAGAATTTCGCTTTCGAGACTAAAAACAAAAAGTCCGAGGTATCATCATGAACCAGTTGGTGAGTTCAGTAACAGTGCCGGTGCATGGTGTTCGGTTTCATTTTAACGGGTGGTCGGTAGATATGAAATTTTAAGATTCGATGTTATATCATAACGCGTGGTACGGTGCCATTGCGTAATTACACGATCTGAGATGACCGGTGTGTCCGGGAATATTCAGAATATCCGTATGAAAATTTCCGAGAAGTAATAAGCATATAGAGTACCGCTTATTCCTAGAATTTCTTGCTCCGACATAGTGTTACTGCTTTTATAAGTGGGATACTAAAGTATATATTTTGTTACTCTTTTTCGTATTCAAATTCAGCAGTTACGGAGAAAATTGAGATCATCGTTCGTTCGTTACACGACTATATATTCTGTGAATTTCTAAAAATTTTCTACGCTGTTTATAATTAGAATATTCCATTCGAAATTAATCATCTTCTATCGTAGATTGCTCGCTTAGACCAAGCAATTGAATTTACGATTACGAATTTACGAACACGATCTAATGTTCCCACTTCTTTGCTCTAAACGCTCCTTTGCAACACGAGTCCATTGTACTCCTAGCCTCTAACTTGTTTATAAGTAAAATATTGGATTATTTCAAGAAAATGCGTACGTTTCAGACGATCGTGTTATGCGCCTTCGCTTCCGTGGCAGCCGCCGTTCCTCTGGGTGTGTACTCTTCTACCACGCCGATTCCCATTCTGAGGCAGAGCGCGGACGGCCCAAATCCAGACGGAAGCTACAGTTACAGTTACGAGACGGCGAATGGTATCCAGGCACAGGAGATCGGCTACCTTAACTACCCAGGCACCCAGGCTGAGTCTCGCGAGGCTCAGGGCAGTTACAGCTACACCGCGCCAAACGGTGAAATTATCCAAGTGTCCTACGTGGCTAACGAGAACGGATTCCAACCCCAGGGTAGTCATATCCCGACCATTCCACCCGCCATTCTCAAAGCACTCGAATACATTGCCGCCCATCGGGAGGAGCATATCGGTGCTCAATGAAAAGAGACAAACGTGGATCCGTATACGACAAGAAGATCGGTCTTCGAGCTCCTCGACGTTTATGTCTAAACCAAAGTCGAGGATGTACGAAATGGAAACGTTGTTCTTTATTCGGCACGACTCTCGATCATTTTAGTGGCATTTTGAGTAGAAATTCGTTTACGAATTTTCGGATTCGGAGTTTGCAGGCTCGATTCGTACGTTAGCTTTGTATTTATGCATACTGCTTACGATTCAGTTTTTTTGTATTTTAAATAAGGAGATTGTAAGAGAACGTTAAGGAGGATTACTGTAAATAAATTGTACATTGATACCTTTATCTTTGTTGTTTTAGCGATCCAAGAGAATATTTTACAGTATCGCTTACGTACCTTGTTTATCATTTATTAGTATTTATTAGAAGTACGTAACAATTGGCGTTATTTTAATTCTAATTTGGTCCGTTGCCTCTCGATGTTATTTTCATTCACCGTTATTTCTTAGAAAATGGTAAAGCCAAGAATGGAAGTCAAAGATGTTTCGAGTGAAGCAATTGAAGGTAATTAATCTTCCGTGTAACTTTCCCTTTCCGTGACACTAACGATATTTTCAAGATGCTTGAATTTAATTAATTGATTTTTGAAAGCTGATTTCGCTTTTCATCTTCCTTTCATTTCCTTAGATAACTTCACAAGCAAAACCACATCAAGAAAGACCATAAACGAGCAATACCAAGTATCTAAAATATCTTCTTAAAATGACAATTCCCAATTCTATATGAAATTATTTCGTTTAATTAATAGTCTGATACATTTTCCATATTAGAATTATTTTATAAGCCTTATAAGTCTTACAATATAAGGAACATAATACTGATTTACGATTAGATAATATCAGCACATTTTCAAGATCGAAAGCTCGTAGAAATATCATAAACTTTTTAAGAAATATTCGTATCGATAAGCAAGTTTAGTGAGAAAATGAAAAATTAAAATCTAAACTTTTGTCGACATTCCCTTTTTTTAATTACAAAAAATGCGCGACTAAGCATCACAGAAATAGCGATTCCCTTAAATTCCGTCCAAGCTATGCAACGCGTGTTGTGAATTTAAGTATAAAGTTGCATGTGCTTATTCAATTGCAGTCATCGCCTTTTTGCGCTCTATATCGATAAATTATTTTCTAGGTAACACGTAAAAGTGCTTCTGTGGAGCGTGCAAGCATTCAATTCTGTGCGTGTTTGCGATACGGATAAAGAAGCGGAATTTTTTCTCGATATACATATGTATATTAGCGTGTTTATGAACTAATAAACATCGTTTCAAATAAAGAAAGTAGAACGATCAAACGCCATTAGGAAAATCATTAACGTACGAAGAAAAAGACGAATACATAGAGAAATCGACAATAGATTTTTAAAAAATATATAGATAATTTTCACGGTAATAATTTCCTACGTTTATTCGTGAGACCGTAACACGTCGATGGTTAAACAAAGTTCCCGAATAAAAATATTTGGAAGCGAATTGAAGATGAACGATTGTCGATGAAACGAGTTAATTCGTGACAAATGAGTTTTCTACGAAAATACGAGGTTTATTTTGTACATTATAAAAACTAACATGTGAACTATTCTAATATTCTAATGTATCACGATCGATCAGTTTCGTTGATTCGTCCTTAACGGTTTATATAGTCGATTAGTGTTGGCTGCTGGAACGGCGTTTTGTTGACTCGGCGAGTCTTTGGCGAGTTCCTCGGGTTCCGGAGTCGAGGGTTGTTTCGCGATCCAATCAAGAGCTCTCTGTATGGCTGGTGGTATTGGTGGCGGTGTTGGCACGTGAGTACCTGCTACTTGAGTACCAAATTCGTCGGCGGTCCAGCTAATTGCTATCGGAGTACCATCTGGAGCATTATACTGTACGGATCCTTGAATCAGCTGAGTTTCAGACGGCGTGCCGACGTACTTTCGACTTCCCGTCTCTGTTTGTACAATACCGCCTTCGGTCTCATAAGTGAACGAATAGTGGCCACGATTGTCACCGAGGTTCCGGTTTTCGCTGACGATCTTTTCCGGTTGCCGGAAATATTCCTGGCAGTGAGCCACTGCGATAAGCGTAAGGAAAACCTGAAACATGAAGATACATGAAGATACATGTTAAGAAACAGTCGAATGTGAAAAATAAGACTAAACGATGCCAAAGTGCCCTATAAGAAGACAGATAAATATTTGACGCTACATATGGACTTCGAATTGACACAGAAGGCGTACATTATTGCAAAGATTCAAAAGGTCGGAACTTAGTATTAAAACAAATAGTAAAACAAAGTAAAACGTAGTAAAACAAATTATAGGTCTATAAAAGTCTAGAAAATAAAGCTAATGTGGATGTATGTTATACCACTATGGGGTATATAGCCAAACTCGAGGCCTATTTGAGCTAGTTATCCTACGCTCCGTGGTTCGTTAGAAAGGAAGAAATAAGAAAAGACCTAAACGTCGTCACACTAAGATAACCAGCAATCGCAAGGAAAAAGATGGAAACGCGCATTAATCTGTTGGTCAATAATATATACGATCGATATATCCCGTGTAAAGTATCCGGTTAAAAGAACACACCCCGCGGACTTAACAAACAAGTAAATATCTGCAAAGGATTCGCAAGATCGACTGATCTTAACGATAATGACGTTGTCTCGGAAGAAACGCTGTCTATTTTGCCACGTTTAAAACGATTTGCCTAATGTCTATTGACAAAATTGTAAAATGTATTTATAAGAAAATATTCAAAATTACGAGGTTGAAATAAATTTTCAGAACGATGCTGCTTTTCTTCTAAAACTTATAGAAAAGAAACAATTTGGTCGATTGAATTACTACTTTTTAATTAATTATTGTACCAATTATAATTCTCTGTTTCTTCAAAATTCAAATCATTACATTCCGTTTATCGTCAAGATGCTTCTCCTTTTACTTCGACATCAATTCACAAAGTTAATTGAAATTTTCTTTCTTCGTCGCACGCTCATCAAATCATTTGATTAATGTTCAGTTAGTCGAAAAACACGCTTAACGTTCTTAATGTTCGCTTTCAGGATGCCAATGCTATTTTGATAGCAGCTGTTTATTCAAGTAGATAATCAGTAGCAAAATTATAGAGAGTCATCGTTAGCACGAACGCATCGATGTTTGATGTAGGCATATTGCATTATACATAACGATTGCTTAAGAAAGCTCGGTAAGATCGTAATGGTTGTACGTATTATCCATGTGCGCCAAACGTATTGAAAAATCGTTAAATTTTTAATCGGCAAAAATTTTTACTTCAAATCTTTATATATCGATTCTTGCTTGAAATTATCGTAGGATATTGTAAAGTTAAATAAAACCGAGCCACTCACTTCACTGTCTTTCTACTCTATCTTTTCTCGTTTACATTTTCCTTTGTCTGTACGTATTCGTTTGTTTTTGTCAGCCGTCCTTTATATCCGATTTTTAGTGATCGAACCAAAGCGTAACTATGGAACGTTAAGAAATAAAAGTCGATACAGCAATGCTTTAATCTTCGTTACGTCTGTCCTGTAAATCCGTTGAAATGCCTTTCCCCGTGAAAGGTCAGGGCAAGATGAATGTGTTAGTAGGTAGGTCAGAATAGTCATTACGATTGTAAGCAGTAAAAGGGACGAAGGAAATCTGGCTCTAATGTCGTTATCCGCAAAAAACTGTTCAACCTAGTTCAATCAATATCTATAGCATCTTTCGAATATTTTCTTTCTCAAATATTTTTTTTCAAACATTTCATCAATCGCTGTTGCGTACTTTATAGTCATATTGAATTCACCGTGCGAACTGGAAGAAAATTTGTTAGAAGAAAGATGCGGTAATATACAAAATTTATATTGGTTACGTCACTTGAAACTGTTTTCGTAGACTCCCTTTTTATGTTATACATTTTCATTGTCGTACAATACATAATTTAAGTTAAAGTATCGAGTAATTTTATAATTAATCAAGTAATTTGAATAAATATTTATGTTTATAAGCTTTTGTAGAAAATGATAGAGAAAGTAGCACAGAAAAAAGAAAGTACGACCACTTCATCAACAAGGAACGTAAATTAGCTATATAAATTTTAATATTATATATTCTCCGTGTAGTTTTTAATATTACTAAAATTCTATTTATTTTCTCAATAAAATTCTCATTTTTCCATATTTTCTGTAATTTCTTGCACTAATTATCAAAAAGTAACGAAGAAAATTGGTCGACATTTAACGACTGTATTTAAAACGCTATTCATGTAGATTTCGCAGAAAGATCTAGACATTATTAAGTAAATTATATTAGATAATTAAATAATAATCCTGCAAACTGTGCAAAGTTTCCTAGTAGAATCATACTGGACATTCAAGGAGCGAGGAAAATTTCTATCGATTGTCACGAATTGTAAATACAATTTTAGAACACGCTCGATTCACGTCGAATATCAAATAAATTGGACACCTAATAAAACACTTAAACAAATGATTCGATGTCACTGACCTGGTCGCGTTAAAAATTAATTACCTTTTGAAATTTCGATCTCAAATTGTTAGGTTTCACTGCGAAGAAAACAAAGACGCGAGGTTTAAGAATAAGAGCGACTTCAACCCCCGTTTGCATCACCAAGCAATAAACGAAAGAGGAAGTTGAACACGGTGCAGGATAGGACAAGAGTGGCACAAGGCAAAAGAAGATACTTACCAAAGAACGCATGTTGCCGAAATGACGCGACGGGACACGTGCCTGTGCAACAGCACAACGCTCTCTCGAGAAAGTGCGATGCGACGATGCGTGTGAACGATGGAGATAAGTCTGCGTCAGATAAAAACGCAACGTCACATATAGAGCGTCGATGTTCTGCCGATGGTTGCCGGCGTGAAGTTCGTGAGCAACTCTTGGACTGTTGGGGGCACAGCCGACCTTTATACCGGCGAGTCTACACAAGCCAGTTGCCAGCCTTTACATAACCCGAGAAAGTTTATTTCGGGATATCCACATCTCGCTCTAGAGCACTTCTAACAGCGAACGATCCACACCCCCGTAGAAATAAAAAAAGGAGCAGAGATGATCGGTCCTTCGATCGTACCTGCGCGCGGCTTTTTAACGCGATTTCACCGGCCACTGTACTCGCGGCACCACGGTCATCCGTGGCTTTTCCCGTCCCAGTCCAATACCAGGAGAACTTGCGTAATCTCTCACTTGCGTAATTATCGCGAGTATTCTGGTATCTTCTCCTTTTTCCTTCCCGCCAACCTGAACAATGCACCGGAAGATAAAATGATTATAGTTTATTTCTTTGTACCCGAAATGGAGCTGACACCGATTTTGGAGATCCGCTCTTGGTCCATTCGCGTATATGCGTCATTCGAGAGACGAAACTTTCCGGTAAACGTCGGTTCAATAAACGACGAAGATTTATGTAATTTCAATGTGATCGAGACAGCCATCATTACCAGATAACGGTAAAGTGTTGATATTTGTGGTTATTTAATTGGTTACCCGACTAGTGGAAAAAAAGGCAAAGAAAGCTTTCTACTACTTTTATTGACGCTACCTTTTTAGTACCGTACTTATATTCTATGTAAATACTTTGCAAGCATCGTCAGACGCTTAATAAGACTTTATGAATAAATTCATGAAACATTTCGGATTATCGATAAAGATGAAAATAAAATGCGCTCAAAAAAGCTTGATATATGTTCGTGTGGGCTTTAATGTCAAATGCAAACGAACCTTTATATCGTAGCTTGAAAACATCTTAACTCACAATCTCATGGTATTGTAGTTACAATCTAGTGTGCATCGTGAACGACACGATAAATAAATTTCTCATCTTGGTTAATACCGCGCGTCGCCATCGTTAAATTCTTTCAACGTGATTTATATGTATTGCGTTATATTACAATATCAGGATCCTGAGGAGTATCAGATTATATTTAAAAAACCGACGACATATTTGAAGAAACGATGATAATTCGATACGCCATGTTCTGAGTAAAAAATTCAATGACAATTACATTCCTTTGGAATTATTATTGTGCTTGTCTTTACATAGCAAAGATGCAATTGCAAGGTAGTAGCAGAACGAATTGAGATTTCTTCATCGGATCTCATTTTCATAGCTTTATCTAATTCACAATTCTGAATAAGAAGTTTATGTATCATAGAGTTAATTGTTTTACACAATGATCGCTAAACTAAAAATTGCTTAAACTTTTTTTTTGGAGAAGCAGAATGAAACACTCTTAGAAAACACACAAATCCTGATTGTTAAAAGTTCGAAAATAATTTTCAAAGATGAATATAATAAGCACGGTAGGAAACCATGATAAAGATCTTGAAAGTTGTTGTTGGTTGAAAGTTGTTCAAATTAGTTCAACGACATAATATTTCTTTTTGCGAAACACACATGACTAGAATCGTTTTGTCATCGTTAGAAACTAGAATCTGCAGAAAACGAAACTATTTACTCGGTCGTAAAATACGCTGAGCTCACATTATTGAGTTACAAGTAAGCAAGAAATGTTACGTTCGGCTGTACCTGTTATTTATCAGGAGGATAATGACATCGACTCGACGTCTCGAATGCCCGTTACTTGCACTTCTGTGGGAATTGAACTCTACGAATACAAGTCCTTGGCACAGTGATCCTAACGACGTGCTACGTGTGACAACCAGCGTACATATAATTGCATTAACCGCTTCCTAATATATGCAAGTCAATATTTATCTTTGCGAAAGGAAGATCTTAGATGAAAGACAAAAGATTGTTGTACGTTTTTAATAAAAAGAAATAAAAACGACTTCCAAAAGTAATGAACATTTACAAACTCATTCTCATTCCTCTTGAATCTTGTTTTAATAACGATTTCATATTTATTTATGCGTTTCGTTATTGGTTCACTAAAATCTGCATACCAGGAATTGCAAGAAAATTTGTAAGGAAAGGTTTGCGAAAGATATTTTCGTTAATACATTTCGACAATGTAAAACACATTGTTGGGAGGACAGGTTTTGGATTTAAAAATGGAAGAATAAAATCACCATTGATATTTCGACAGTAACTAGATTTTGCAAGTTTAAAAAAGAAGATCGTAAATTGAATTATTATAATTATTGTAATATCAAAAAATAGTTCTCAAAGTAAACAGGGAAGATACGGAGATCAATGTTACAGTTGTAGTAAACATTTATCAAGAGATATACATAATGTAACTTACGATTTGAGAAAATTGATTATTTCAAAACAAATATTATAATTTACTGTAAGAAAAAGATAAGAATGGGTAGTAGTATTGTAGTATACATTAGTAGTATACATTAACCGGTAATGCCCAGCTCGGCAAGCTGTTGATACTTCTTTAGTTTTTATGAGCAAACCAACTTTACGTTATTGATATTGTTGATCCTACTACATTTCACATTATATCAAACGTTATTGCAGTCATAAAAGTTGCAGTTAGCTAATCACAGATTCTCTTTCTAATTGACAATTAGATATAACGTGGGTACATATTTGTGTGTATACATATACTTTGTAATGAATATTTCTAGACATATACGTACATAAAATTATCGAACGAAATATTAGGTGACTTTACAAGAATATTTGTGTATATGTATAGATTTTCTGATATATATAGGATTACTAAAGTTTATAAAATTTAGAAATAAACTTTATATTTCAACCTTGTTATTTTACGAACTACGTGAATAACGTGGAAAAGTAAATTAATAAATAATTTATGTTAGTTTCTTGATCAGACACTGTAAGTTGAAGTTAACGTGGTAAATTGACGTCAAACATTTGAAATCTTTTACGTGTTATTATACATTATATCGTGCCGGTACATTGATTTGTTGATTTAGTACGACACGAACTACATCATTTAACTTGTACCTGACATTTTAACTTTCTACATTATAGTACTACTGTACATCCTTACCTCGTGCGCTCAATCGTGATATTTGTGGTGAAGCAAAATTGCGAAACAGGAACGTACTGAAATAAATTATTAAATAATCTTTCGAATAATAAGATTTATTATATTTTATTGTTTAATTCTATTATTCAATGTTATTGAACCACTTTAATTGTAACCCATATCTGACTTGTCTCACTGATTCCATTGCTGTACAAACGACACTGCAGTAGAATGGGTTGTCTATCTACAGGCAATAACACTGCTCGATTAATGATTGGTGTTTTCAATCTATTATGGATAAAATTTATACTTTACAGAACAAAATTATACCTAATAGAATTATTTATTACCTTTGTTTGTTAAATATTTGTGCATCAATATTTCCTTGTTAAAAAATCCTTTCACAGCAACAAATTAAAATTATAGTACGTATCATGAAATAAATAACAGTAATATTCCTTAAGAATAACATGTAATATTTTCTGTATTGTTAAAAAAATTATGTAAATTAATCTTTTTTTAATTAATATATAATGAGTTTCCTAATTTATTATCAAATCATTATAGAAAAACGATACAAATTAAGATAAATATATTTAATTAGATAATCCCTATCGCATAAAAATTATCTTTTCCAGATGACTGATTGAAACCAAATTTGCAGTTGAATTTTATAAATTCGTTTACGTTTGAAAGAATATTCGCACACGAATGCATTTTCTAAAACATTAAATTATCAGACTGCTGTCCGATCTTAACTTTCACCGAGACGAAGATTTTGAAAGACTTTCTTTTCCTTATCTATCTCTTCTATTTACATTCACTCGAGTCATTCTCATCTCCGTCGTGATTACGATACTTAGAACCCTTTTCTAATGAAGTTACCGAATAGTATTCGTAAAATACCGCTTTATCTTCCATCGCTCGCCTTCGCAAGCCGACATTCTTCCCATCCGTTGCACTTTGGAAGACCCATCGATCACATCAACGAACGGCAAGAATCGTGGTCGATCGATTCAGCTACTAGAAAATTGTAATGAAGTTAGATCGCTATGTAGTGGGAGTGTTAGCCTGACGAAAACTCACGAACGATTCCGACAGAGGTGCGTCAGGTCCGAGTCCCAACTTTCGTATCACTAGTACTCGTAATGTCCACAAGAAGGCACTGTCAATTGAAAACGCGATAGCCATGCATGTGTTTGTCACGGCTGCTGACGCAAGATCGGCATACACAACGCCGTTGTGACGCGACGTCGACGTATAGTAATCGCGTGCAGCCGCGACAACGGTCGTTCCGATTTTCGCGACTATTCCACCGGGACGTATTTCACGTTCCCAAACGACCACTGAAACTTTTGTCAATCACAAAACGTCACGGTTCCACGTGGACAATTGCGTATCCCTGTTATCAACTCTCTGTACATCGATGGATCTCAGTGACTTCGTTGGAATGCAATCGATCCGGTCGAGGCTCTCTTCGATCTGACAGGTACTGACTCGATAACACGTGATCTTTGTAGCTTCGTTGATGTACGCGTATCTTTGTCTCATAATATATATTTTTGTGTGACATTTTACGCTAAAAGTATCAAAAGTATACGTCTTAAATTTTTGTTTCTCGTTTGTTACATGCTTGCTGTGTTTACTGCATGCTACAAGAAGAACATTCTGTTCGAATTAGTTTTGAATGAATCGTTGCATCGATTCAGAGCTAATGTTTTCATTCAACTCGGTGCTTATAAATTTCGGGGAAAGACGACAGATTCTGAGTCGTGACTGTAGACCGTCACGTCGTACGGTCTTTGATATCATCACGGTAAATCTTAATACGACGCGATTAAAGGTGCTTCATACACTTTATCTTTGTGTACGGTTGCGTTATAAGTACAAATGTATGTTGGTAAATGGGCCCATCGCGTGAGATAAAAATAATTACACGTATGGTAATTAAAATCTTTATTGGTAATAATAAATCATCGTAAAAATTGATAATTCGAAATTTCAAGCGACTGTGATACAAACATGAAGAGCGAAAAAGTCTCGAACAGTTTTTCATTGCAATCGTGTAAGGTAAGAGTCAAATCTGATCGAATCTTTTAGCGAATTGTCCGTGAATGTTTTCGCGTTTCCTTACATCAATGAAATTACCGGAAGTTCGTGCAAGTATTCTGTGTAGACTCTTCTCTACACACACGGGCACACACACACACATCTCCTCTATCTCCCTCTCTCACCTGGACTGACTCGATCGCTACTTCTGTGTGTGCCTGTGTGTGTGTTTCTCTCTCTCTCTCTCTCTCTCTCTTTCTCTCTGTGTGTGATTCTCCTCTTCTCTCTTTCTTCCATTAGATCGCCATGCCATCATGAATGCCACGGACAGCAACAGCGGCGTCAACGGCAACGACAGCAACAACACGATCGCGGGCAAGACGAATGCGCACGGCAACAGTGTTCGTCTGCAGAGCGTGATCGGCAAGCAGAGCAGCTGCGTGCGCAAGATGAGCACGATGCCGGAGGAGGAGGATACCTCGGACGATATGGATCCTGATGTGATAAGGATAGAACACCAGCACTATCAGCATCATCAGCATCACGACGTCGATTCGGATTCACCGTCCGAGGAAAGGGGTCGTTTACTAAGTGCTACCGAGTCGACCGTTCGAAAGATCACCATTACCCCTACGAGCTCGAGTAACCTGCACTGTAACGGCACTATAAAGAAAACCATCCCTCGAAACGACAGTAGCAACAGCATCCACGAAAAAACGTACTCTCGACTTCAACAATCAAAGTCAGGGGACCAAGTCGGTCAAACGGAGAATAGGCTGCATCGCGACATTCCACAGGGTATACTTAGATCCGTTCGAGGGATCGACTCACATAATACACGACATCGCTGCTCCAGCGTAAGATCCGTGAAATCTAATCCGACGATGGATGAACATCAGCACCAGTATCATCCACCGGCGGCCAGCTGGGCATCGATCGTGTTCTCTGATGGAAACGGGCAAACCCACGTGCGAACGCTTCCCGATTCCGTCTCTATACGCTCTCTAGCATCGATCGGCATGGGTTCTTCCAACGGCCGGAAGCTCACGATACGTAGAGTTCTCACTTCGCCGTCGGAGCTGCTTAACATGGTACATCCGCCGCCGTAAGTGAGCTACATTATCTAACGTGCGCGTCTCGGCGAGAAGCGTCGGAAGGAGCGAACTATGAATCATGTTCCGCAGTTCCTCCTTCTCCAACTTCCTGCATGCGGTTTTCATTCGATGCCTTTACGCTTGCCGGAGCTTACGCTTTGCTCTATAGCGAGGATTACTGCTCGTTGGCCGGAAGAGGATTCGGTTCGGCAAGACTAGGCTAGGTTGATGGAGTTTGATAAGATAGCCGTTATCTTGCCGTTAGCTACTCTATAGTTGCGATGTTGTTCAGTGATAATTGGTAATTGGCGATGTTAGATGGAGATGATTGATTGTTATTGTTTGTTTCTCTACGTAACGGGGTAACTCGGATGAAGTCGGCAAAAGAGATAGTTTTAAAGATGAAGTAAGTTTACTTTAATTAAAACTTGTTTAAACCATGCTTTTTCCAACGAACGTTTTTAACAAAGTATTCGATTGGGTAAAAGTTATCGTACGATGTATCGTCTAACGCTAATAAAAATCTCGTTGTGGTACAACTTATTGCAGTTATATGTAGATTATACGTTTCATATGTAGTTTAGTTTATACGTGGATTGTACGATGTAGGAAACAGAAGATATCCACTAAATGCTACATTTCGATGATTCATCGATGTATTGAAAAAAAAGGATCGAATCGCGAGTTAAAAGAATTCAGAATACTTCCAAGAA